TTTACAAGTAGATTCAGATCTGAGAGGGAAAGAAACATACACCAATTTTCATTAGCAATTTTGAATTAGATCACCTTTAGGTTGCTGGCATGATTAAACAGTTTACCCGAAATCCAAACAGTTACAATTTAATGACAGGAGTAAAACAGAAACATTTCAGAGCTGACAATTAAAACTGATAAAAAGGCCAGTCCCTACAGGAAAAAAGCATTGGCTCAAAAAATACAGAAATATTTCCAGTACTTTTCGACTATTGTCAGTTAGCTACTCTTGCTAACAAAACAGTGAAGCAACTTCCAAAGGCCACTGTGCAGTGCGCTCAACATACTTTGAAACATATTCAATAACCCAACAGTATATCCCAAGGTCAAGTTATATGAAGCAGAATATTTTCCTCTAATTTCTAACATAACCCAACAGAATAAAGTTAGCACAGATATGCCATATCTGGCAATTTTAAGATTAACATCAAACACAATATGCTGTCTTCAAGGTCTAAGCTTTGAATGGAGAAGGAGATTCCTGAGCAAAGAGATTATACTACTCTCAGTCAATACTATATATGTTTACATCTATTTTGAGAATTACTGATATTCAAAGTACCTAAAATATCCCTAGTTGAAAACTGAGTGAATTGATCTTTCAAAAAAATGTCATACCATAATACTTGCATACACAGTGCAGAAGTAAACCACAGTATCCAGTTTTCAAAAGGTAGTATTTTAAATATTAAACTTTTTTCTGTTTTTCAAATGCTGGTTACTGTAATTTATAAATAATTTGGTGCTGTAGTTTCTGGCCTTTTAAATGTTTGATAATCAATATAGGATTGCAAGCCGTAACATCATGCTTCACTTCTGTTCAGATGCTCAGCAAGGCCAGATTGTTCACTGCTTTGTATCTACTGTTACACCACTGCCAAGCTCAATTAACCGATTGAAAAAATAACAACTTTTGGAACGTAGTCAAAAACATAAGCTCAATGTAACATACTTATCTTAAACTACACTCAAAGAACTCATTTGTATTTATTTTCCATAAGCTATTAATCTTCTAATGAGATAGTCTGGCATGTTTGAACAGTTCTTAAAGTGTGATAATTTTTCAGGAACAGATACTTTCACATTTAATGAAAACAAAACCAATGTCCTGCAGTTAGTTAGATCTCAGCTGCTGTAGAAAAGTGATGTAGAACATAACTATTTCACATCGTCATAGTTGGTAAAAGTAGTATTTTGACAACAGTAGGTTAACAAGTGAGTGGGTGGCTGTTGGTATGTGTGGTCATAAAACTATAAATAAATAAAAGATTATTATTTCTGCATGGCAGCAAAAATTATGCATTATTGCTCGAATCTCAATTCCTGGAATGTTCAATTGGAAAACAGACCATACAGAATAGGCAAGAGCTGATATTATAAAGGCATAAGATTTTGCTTTGGCAGATATACTTATTTTTCCGAAACCTGCTTCACTGAAAGAAATTACTCCAAATAAAAATAAAAATCACCAGTAGCTTAATTACTGGCAGAATAATTACTTGCAGGGATGGCACAGTGGCTAGCACTGCTGCCTCGCAGCGCCAGGGAACTGGGTTCAATTCCACCCTCGGGCAACTGTCTGTGTGGAGTTTGCACGTTCTCCCCGTGTCTGCGTGGGTTTCCTCCGGGTGCTCCGGTTTCCTCCCACAGTCCAAAGATGTGCAGGCTCGGTGGATTGGCCATGCTAAATTGCCCGTAGTATTCAGGGGTGTGTAGATTAGGCAGGTTATAGGGGGATGGGTTTGGGTGGGTGTTCCGAGGGTCGGTGTGGACTTGGGCCGAATGGCCTGATTCCACACTGTAGGGATTCTTAAAAAAAATGTTAACTCTGGTTAGCAACAAATAAAATAATATAGTTAAAAAGTACACCCCAAAGGAACAGACCACTGAAAATGGCCAACCTTCCCCACATGTGCACAAAATAGACACAAATGTAACATACATCATTAGCCAGTAAAATTCCAGTAGAATAAGTCCTCTAACCCTTCTGATTTTTACCAAACGTTTTCTCCTTTGTTTTAGAATAATACAACTTGTCTCAAGAAAATGGTAAGCTGGTAATCTGTCTTTAACTAGCATCTAATGTCCTTCAAGCCACGTATCAAATCGTCCTGGAGAGGTTAGTGGTGAGCTGCCTTCTTGAACTAGCGAACCTTGGGATGCAGGTCACCCGCAATGCTCTTACATAAGGAGTTACAGAATTCTGATCTAGCAACAAATGAATAGCGACATAGTTCCAAGTCAGGACAGTGTGGGGTTTAGAAGGGAATGTGCAGGTAGCAGCATTCACATTCACCTGTTATTCTAGTCTTTCTAGGTGGCACAGATTGTGGGTTTGAAAAGTACTGTTAAAAGGAGGCTTGGTGGGTGCGCAGCACATCTCAGATGGTATGCGCTATTTCCACAGTGTGTCAACGGTGAAGGATGGTTTGTCAATCAAGTTGATTGCTTTCTCTTGAATGGTGAGGTTCAAGTGCTGGTGGAGTGCACTGGGAAGTATTCAATCACACTCCTGACTCGTGCCTTTAGATGGCAGACAGGCATTGGGAAGGCAGGAGGCAAGCTATTCATTGCAGAAATCTTAGCCTCTGGCCTGTTCTTGCAGTCAGTAAATTATTTGGCTGGTCCAATTCAGTTTCATGTTTATGGTAACATCCAGGATGTCAATAATGGGAAAATTCTGTGATGATAAGTTTTTTTAAATTCACTCATGGGAGATGGACATCTCTGGCTAGGCTAGCATTTATTGTTTGTCCTAGGTGCCCTTGAGGAGGAGATGGTGAGCTGCCTTCTTGAAGTGTCACAGTCCATTTGCTAATAGGTAGATGCAAAACTGGTGGCGGGGGTTTTCCAGGATTTTGACCCAGCGCCAGTCAAGGAACGATGATAGATTTCTTAGTCAGTGGCACGAAGGTAAGCTTGCAGGTGGTGGTGCTCCCATATATCTGCTGCCCTTATCCTTCTAGATGGAAGTAAACATCAAGGGGATATAGGTTATGCAAACTGGGGTGAAAAAATTAAGTCCTTTGCAGAAGTAGTCAGAATGCCACTTTAAAAACTACTTTACAATTAGTTTATTAAAACACTTAAGCATTTTATAGAATTCAACAGTAGAGAAAGAAGCCATTTAATCCATCATCTCTGTGCCAGCTCTCAGAACTATTAGTCCCATTCCCCAACTTTCTTACAACCTTTCACTTTATGTTCCAAGTATAAATCCAATTCCCATTTGAAAGTTACTATTGAATCTGCTTCCACGACTCTTTCAAGCAATGCAATCTAAATTATAATTAATGGAACTAAATATTTCTCACCCATCCTGGAATTCCTACCAATCATTTTAAACCTGCATCATCCAGTCACTAACCCGCTTGCCAGTGGAAAATATTTCCTGTCTACTCTACCAAGACTTTGAAAGCTTCTGTCAGTTCTTCCTTTATCCTCTGCTTTAAAGAAAGCAGGCCCAAATTTCTTGTCTCTTCAGTAAGTCAAAACCACTCTTTCTGGTACCAGTTAGGAAAGCTTAGTCCCATGCCTTATCAGAAACCTTTATATTTCTTCAGGATTAGAAGGATGCTCACACTCGAAAGTTTAAATTGCAGTGTAGTTTACATAACAAAATCCATATTTGGACCATGAAATTGATTTAAACATATGTAACAAATGCATAGCAAAAATAGACAAATAGCAGGATAAGAAAAGGATAATATTAAATTGTGATACAATTTTAATTAAAAAGTAATCCACCAGTTCAATACTACAGTGAAGTACACAAAAGTCATTATTCAAGTACCTCACCAGGAGCCCAAACCTTGCAAGGAATAGGCCACTTCTGGAGTTGTTTTGATTGTTCTAGGCTTGAAGGAGACAAGTTTGAGATTGGTTAGTCTGCATAAGGGATTTCTAAACTTAGTCAAAACAAAAATTTTAACTTCCCTTGTTTGTCAAGTCTTTTCCCCCCACATGAAGATCTCTGCTGTAGGACTGAAATGAATGGCCTAAGATCAATTTCACTGTGTACCACTATTTTTCCTATGGGCAGTATGCATGAAATGTTAGGATGGCACACAGGCACAGTGCACTTGACCAAGAGTCAGAAAAAAACCTTTCTCCTTGTCTCTGTAGCTACATCCCCTTTACAATTGTACAATTTAGTTCACATTGCTTGTAAGTTTACGTCCAAACTGCATCACGTTAAGCTAAGCATGTGGTAAATGCTAATAATTGATTCACTAATATTCAAATAACCTCTCCTTACTTTAGATTTCTCAGAATATTTTTCAAAATATTACTGCACGGGATCGCCTATAAACTACTTTTGAACAGCTACAGACACTTGTTAGTGTTTATCATACGTTTGTACTGGGAGTAACAAAAACAAGCTTGATACACAGGGGAAAAGAGAAGACAATATCCCTCACAAAGCCTTGCCAAAGTGCAAAGTTTACATCATCGTGGAAATATGGGACTGAAATGCTCGATAAGTGTTCCGTAATTTGAGAAGACTAAACACGCAATCTTGAAAACAACGACCTTGTGTTTCAAATTCCTCTGCACCTCACCTTAATCTACAATGAAAATTAGCCAAACACGGAACTACAACCTGTGATTTATTTATAGAAAAAAGGTAAGAGGAAAACACTACACATTCGAAACAAGCGTTCAGCATTCCCACAAGGTAAATACCGGCCAGGTTGCCCTTAAACCTTCTGATACCTGCCTGATTGATATTTTAATAGCTTACTGTCATTGAAATAACTGACTGCAGCTCCAAGGGCAGACTATCACAGAGACTGGTGACTGGTGGCTGGTGGTGGGCAATTACTCCGACGATGAACATTGACAGGGCCTGGAGATGCTGGTGTGGCCCAGGCTGTGAGGAAAGGTGAAGGGTTCACCCTGTGCACGATCAGTGAGGGCACTGGGGTCAGTGAGAGGGTTAGAGGCTGCGGCATTTACCTGCTGATGTAGTCGGCGATGCCCAGCTTCTTGGGCTTGGCCCCCTGCTCATTGCCAAGGGCCGTGCCCGGACACTCGAGCCCAGCCGCCAACTGCTCGGGTGCGCTCTGCCTCCGGTTCCCTTCGAACGAATTCCTCGCTTTCAGACTGACGTCCGTGAACTCCTCCAGTGCCCGGGGCTCGGTGCTGCTGGTAGCGGCGGCGGGGGGCGACGGCGGCGGCCCCGGGCTCTCGACCACCTCGGGATCCGAGCCGCCGGTGTCCTCGTCCTGGCCGAGCCCCGGGGGAGAGGCGCCGTCCTGGTGACCGAGGCCGGGCGCCGAGGTAGAAGTGTCGGAAGTGTTGGTGTTGGGTTGACACGGGGACGGGGATCCGGTGTTGGAGGAAGACGAGGAGGAGAAGGAGGAGGAGGAGGAGGAGAAGGAGCTGGCGGCGGGGGGAGCCAGGGAGCTGCAGGCCGTGTCCCCGTTTCGAGCAGCCCCCGGCGGAGAGCCTGCCTCCCGCCGCTTGGCCCCCGCCTCCCCCATGGAGCAGCAGCCGTTGAAAAGATCTCCTAAGGCGGGCTCGGGGTAGCTGTGGAAACGCGCCGTGGCCGTGTCCGGAGGAGACCGCAGGCAACTCTCATGGTTACTGTGGAGATAAATCATTCCCGACATGGAGCAACTGACTGACTGACCGAGCCGGACCGGAGCCACCGACCGCCCCGGGCTCGGCTACAGCCAGGTCCTACTGCCTCCCTCCTGCCGGAAACCTGGGCGTGACGCCGCCAGAGGGGGCGTGCCCCCTACACCCCACGTGACTGTAGCCTCCACGTGACTGCAAACCACACAGCCTCCGCTGGCAGCTAATGCGTGTGTTTTTCGTTCACCTCGATCTCCGCTCTCCCATTTCTTCTCTGTCCCACCCTCTGCAACGTCTTCTTTAAAATTCCTCCTTGGTCTGTAAGCATCAATGGCAATGCCAGCGTTTATTTGCCCATCCCGAACCATACTTGCGAGAGTGATGGTGACCAACCTTCTAGGACTTCTGCATTTCACCAGGTGTAGGTACACCCCAGTGCTGGTAAGGAAGGGGGTACCTGGAGTTTGACCCCGCAGTACAATGGAGAAAGGGGTAGTGAGGTCACGGTGGTGTGTGATTAGAGTGGGGAATTTTCTGGTGTAGGTATTCCAATGCAAATACTGGTGTTATTTTGCTCAGGTAGTATAAGTAGCAGATCTGAAAGGTGCCTCTGAATAAGCCTTGTATGTTGCTGCAATGCATCTTGCAAATAATAAATACTGTTACCACTGTTGAATAATGGTAGTGTGAGAGAAAGTTAATGGTGATGGATGGGATGCCAATCAAGGAGGCTGCTTTTTCTGGAATAAGGAAAATGTTCCATCAGACTACTGGTTTGTACCTATCCCCTCCCTAACTCCCCACCTACACTCACCTTTACTGGCCCCATCCCTGCCTCTTCGACCTGTTTGTTTCCTCTCCACCTATCCTCTCCTCTATCCATCTTCTATCCGCCTCCCACTCTCTCCCTATTTATGTCAGAACCCCATTCCCCTCCCCCTTTTCTGATGAAGGGTCTAGGCCCGAAACGTCAGCCTTTCTGCTCCTCTGATGCTGCTTGGCCTGCTGTGTTCATCCAGCCCTGCACCTTGTTGTCTCGGATTCTCCAGCATCTGCAGTTCCTGCTATCTCTGTGCCTTGTAGATGTTGGACAGATCTTGGGGAGTCAGGAGGTGTTATTGACTGCAGAGATGCCTATGACCTGTTCTTGCAGCATATTACTGGCCTGGTTAACGTTCTGGTCAATGGTAACTCCCAGGATGTTGATGGCAATGGATTCAGTCATGATTTTAATATTAAGCTTAATATCAAAGAGAGATGATTAGATTCTCTCTTGTTGAAGATGGTCATTGGCTGGCAGCTGTGTGGCCTGAATGTTACTGATTTTAGGGTTAGACCATTACTATCATAATGCAGGAACTTCTTTCACTTTAGTGATGCTTTCAATTGTGTACAACTGTAAGATTTTTGCTCCTCCCTTACTGTGTCTAAGGATAGTAGTTTATCAAGAGGTACACTTACCCAGATCAGAAACAGCAGACTCTTTTGCCTTGCTGTACCTGATTAAATTGCCAACTTTTCACCATCCGTGCACTGTGGTTGGATAAGTATCATTTACTGCAGGCATCAAAGTAGCTCAACAAGATTAGTTCAAGAGCATCACACAGTTCCATGATCTCTGCCACACGCAAATGATAAAAGGAACAAGATCCCAAGTTCCATTCCAAATCATACACCGTTAGGTTTGGTTCCATAATATTATTTCTCTATCATCACTAAATGCAAAATGTTGAAATACCCTACATTCACAGAAGTTCAAGAACAAAGTCCATCAATATTTCCACTAGGTAATTAAGGATAGCTAATAAATTTCCAGAATTACTTATGTATTAAAATATCAAAGTCTGTACAATATAGAAGTTCCTGCAGATACTTCATTATTTAATGATTATCACTCTTGATTCAGGAGTCTTATAGTTCAGTGATAGTGTCCATATTTCTGGGGGCCAGGAGCTTTCAAGTCCCATTCCAGGACATGTTAACCATAGAACAAGCATCCATGATACAGTTCAACAGGCTGATAATTATCCTTCCATTACTTTACAAAAGGGTGAAGATATACTGAGGAAAAACAAATGACTGATTTAATTCAAAGCTCATGTTCCCATTATTCTGTCAATATTCTTTATTTTTAAAGAAAAACTTTCAAAATCAGGTGGAAATAATCAAAAGATGATGACATGATTGTAAATTTATTTTGTATTGCACTGATTTTAAACTGGAGTATTGAAAGCTTAATAAATGTGTCACCACTTGAAGTATGTGCACTCAGAGTCATCTCATAAAAATCCCAGTCTGATTTATTGCTATTCTCCATTATTTGAGTACTGTCATCATTTCAGTACACTGAGGCAGAAAAAGGAATAATAAAGAAAAAGGTATATCCATTGCAGTATGAAACACACCAGCTCAGCACTGTATCTGTTACTACTAACTTGTTGGGGCTGGACTTTTTAGATACCTATCTTTCACACATTATCATATCAAAGGGGATAGATGTCTGTTGAAGAATCCCTGTCCAAGATTACTTAATGATGATTGTGGTAGGTCAGTCATGTCTTTCTGAAGATTCTTGACTGCCACCAACTAAAGGTCTTTTTTATCCTTTCTGCCGAGTTAGGAACATTAAAGATGTAGCGACAGACCTCAATTTAACACAACCCCACAACAAAACTCACCTAGTTGTGGACAACAATTTTCTTTCCAAAACTTACCTAAGGGCTATTGGCAGCAAGTAAGCAATCGAAACTGACTTCTGTTGTAGGCTGACATGGCTGTGGTGACACACCTAGAGCTGGAAGTTCCCTGTGAGTATGTAGGTAAGGCAGACGTTCAATTCCTGGCAATCCTCATGTCTTCCAGTTCGGGCCTGCACTGGTCACATAGCACTGAGTCAGCAGACACAGACTTATTTTTATTGTTTTTACTTTTAAAGGACATACAAGACTGCTTGTTCTCTGTTAGATTCAGACGTAAGCAGCAACAAAGCAGCAGCGATCTAGTTTTGATCTAGATTTAGCCCACACAGTAAATGCTGTTGCCAAAATTTCGATTGTAATAGGAGTTGGCATATACCTTAGACTTAACTGCTTATGGTTGTGTAATAAATGTATTCATCAAAGGTGGGGAGTAAAGGTTGTACTTTGCACAATGACAAAAATAACTACAACCTTATACCTAGGCAACTCCCTACAAGCTCATTGCTCTTTACAGTTAAGTATAAATTCCGATGCCTTATCAAACACATCAGTGCACTTAAAAGGCAGTTGATATTTTGTACAATTATTTCTATCCAATCTGATCCATTTTACTTTTCAAATATGGACGTGTGCTTTTATTTTCACCAGTATGCAGTAACTGATGATACTGTTGTTAACCAATTAGTTTCTGTATTCAGAAGTAGAGATGCATTTCCCTTATTTCCACTTGTCCTCAGGACAATGCCTTGACCAATCAGAACAACTTGGTTGGTTTAAATTTAAACAAAGTTTGGCAGTTAATGGTCAGTCTTTATCTAACTGGTGCATTCTCTATGGAAACATCTCTACCAATCAGACTCTACTTCCCAAACAATCAACACTCTCTTTCTCGTACAGTATAAAATTGTTGTTTTTCCTTTTATATTGGTATTCATGCAAATGTCCAGATCAGTGAAAGACAAGAAGTTTCAACAAAATATAGCCTAATACAACATTGAGTTGTATTAACAAACATCTTTATAACATTTTAGTTTGTTTGAGAATGTTTAATATAAGTAGCAGAAAGGCAAGCTCAACACTTCAAAGACACAGCATCATCATGGAGCTAGTAAAAGGCAGAGGGAAAAGCATTTGTGCGAAAATAAGAGAGACGAAACCGCCCCACAGAAAAAGACATTGGCTATGGTTGAGTGCATGTGTTATTGAGCAAGAAAGTCAGCTTTATAATTTCATTTTATACAAACCTAATTTTGTTTGTAGTTGGCATTAAATTAAAAACTGCAGATAAAATTGTGCAGTTGCCAACCTTAAGCAGGATTTTTTCAAGGGTTCCAGTGAAAGAGCAGTTTAATTAAGAACTACATGAAACAAAATCCTCATTAAGTGAGTCAGCTAGGCCTCTAGTTTTAGGAACATATATAAGTAGACCTCTTAGTGACTTAGCAAACAAAAAACATAAATTGCTGGAGAAACTCAGCAGGACTGGCAGCATCTGTGAAGATAAAACAGAGTTAATGTTTTGAGTCCAGTGAAGGTAAAGTAACAAGTAAGAAGAGTTGAATAAACGCTTTGCAGCAATCTTCATGTTACAAGACCCAATAGCATGCCAAAAATACAAAATAATTATGGAGTAAAGTGGAGAGGAAATAAATACAATAGCTATCACTGGAGAAAATCCCAAAATATTCTTTGGAAAAGTCTCAGAGAATTGGAAAACAGTTCTGCGGAAGGGTCACTCGACCTGAAATGTTAACTCTGATTCTCTCCACAGATGATGCCACATCTGCTGAGCTTTTCCAGCAATTTCTATTTTTGTCTCTGATTTACAGCATCTGCAGTTCTTTCAGTTTTTATTTAGCTAAATACCAGCAAGTTTAACTTCTTTCATTGGGAAAAATGTTAGAATCCATTATAAAGGATGTAATAGCTGAGCATTTAGAAGTATGTGGTAAAATCAAACAGAGTCAGCATGGATTTATGAAGGAGAAATCACAGTGAAAAAAATTATTAGACTTTGTTGAAAATGGAACCTGTAGGCTAGATAAAGGGAAACCATAATATGTAATATATTTAGATTTCAAGAAGAGATTTGATAAGGTACCACACAGAAGGCTAGTTAATAAGATGAGTCTATAGCATTGGGAGCAGTATAATTGCATGAACACAGAACTGGCTAACTCATGGAAGACAATGAATTGAGATAAGTGGGGGACATTTTCAGGAATGTCAACCTGTAACCAGTGGAATGCCTCAGTGATCATTGTTGAGGTCACAATTTACAATATAATTTAATGATTTAGATAAGGGAAGTGACTGCATTATTGCCATGTTTACAGATGATGCAATAGATGGCAGGGCAACTGGTGAGGATGACACAAAGATTCTATAAAAGGATATGGACAGTTTAAGTGAGTGGGGAAGAAGTTGGCAAATGGAATATAATGTGAGAAAATGTGA